TTTGTGACCCAGTCTGTGAACAGGCTTGAGGGGTCTGGGAGCTCCAGATCCAGCCCTAGCTCAACCATTGGCCCAGTTGGTGCAGGATTACTGGCAGGTAACAGAGCCATGGCAACTAGCATGGTCACCCAGCTTTACAATTGGCATTGCGAACAGGATTAAGAGCTAGACAATTGGCGCTGTGAGGATTCCAGGCCTCATAGTACCCCTTGTCATAGCCAGACATGAGATTTTGAAAAGTAATGCTAAGCAAAGCAAAAAACTGCAATGCCCCATTCTGGGGTGCCTCACATTATCTGTCATACATATGTACCCCCACAGGTTCTTTATAACTGCAGGGTGAGTACCAGGTGACTGGTCTATCTAGCCACAACTGACTGGACTAGGGAAGGGCACCTACCCCAAAGGCAGCCGATCAATTGGTTGACCAGCAGTCTGTCACGTGGAAAGGTCCTAGATCTACACCTCAAAGGGGCATACTCAAGATTTCTCTCAGGTAGTTTAGACATGAGGCACACCCAAAGAAGCCAGCAGCTGGCAATGGGGCAAAAGCCAACGGAAACACAGAGAAGACAGGCAAAGGCAACGCCAGTGGGCAGAAGGCACAAGTGACAGAAACCAGAAGTCCTGCTGCACCACTGTCCCTGTTGTTCAGTGAGGCTAGGCCCGTCCTTGGCCCCTTCTGCTCCTATTTCTCCAGGTACCTTTAAAATAAATGCTCTTCAGACTGTATTTCACTATATTTCTGTTTTTTGCAACTTGAAAGAATGTGATCAACTGAACATTAAGTAGAGGGTTGGATTAAGCCTTTAAAGGGCCTAACCTCTGAAAAGATTATGATTCCTTCTCTAACCTCTAATTATGTGTAATTCAAAATTAAAATACGACTAAAACCTACAGTTAATGTAACTAAATCCTAAAAAGAATTTTTTCTTTGACCATTTCATGAAATATTAAATTCATTCCAAGAAAATTTTTTGGGGGCCTATATTTGTGTTTAGCTTGCCTGCTAGTGATCCAGTAATATATGAGGTAAAGGTGGAACTGGAAAGTCCACATCACAGACCACAGCACCTTGCCTGTCACAAGTCAGGCCACCATTACTTTTTGTAGTAAACAGCATATTTTTACACTTTTTTTTTTCCTGGCATTTTAAAGATAGGTCACAGAGAAAAGAAGTGCATCACTAAATAATATACGATTACCTAAACATCCTTTAACATTTTACAACACTCTTAGAAAATCATAGCAGGAATATATTCCATTATTGATTTAAAGCCCAGGAAGTCCAGAATCTTAGCTATCGAAGTTTCAAAGGAATAAAAATATTAATTTTCTTTAAAAATACCAAATTCTGAAAACTGATTATTTTCTAATCAATTATCAAATGGTTTTTGAGGCTACACAATAGGAGAGTCTTGAGCATATGTACTCCCATTCTTTATGTTATTCACTGCTCAATGATAGAGGTGTGGTAAAGGGGACAGATGGGGCCATGTGTCCCTGGTGTCAATTTGCCGACTTTGCATGCATGGGCTGCAGTAGTGGGGAAAGAGCTTGAAACCTACTACATTGTCTAACTCTCTTTCCCTCAATCCCCAACCCTGTACCATTAACCCTCAATCTAGTTCTGGCTCTGCTCTGTGAACCCAATATTTACATGGACTGAAGAAAGCAAAAATCTGGACCTTTTCTCAGAAAAGTCTGTTGTAGGATTTCTGGTTGCACAGAGCTTTTAACGTCTGACCAAGCTCTGCAATCTCACATTGTTGACTTTTCATCTAGTGACCAATAATGATACATCTGAATTAAAAGCTGTGTTCTCTTTGGATTATAGTGTAAAATAGATCCCTTGACATTCCTAATCCTATAGATTACTTTACATAGATAAAAGTTTTGTCTGCTGTATTAACTAATTCTTTTGGTTTTTTTTTAAATAGCTTCATTGAGATGTAATCCATATTAATATACAATTTACCCCTTTAAAATGTACAGCTCAATGTTTTAATATATTCACAGAATTGTGCAACCATCACCCCAATCTAATTTTAGAACATTTTCATACTCCTCTCTCCCACCAAAAAAATCTGCACTGTTTATAGCAGTAAATCCTATTCCCCCTCCTCCATATGGAGGACTAGTGGTATGAGAACCACTAGTCTATTTCTGTTTCTATGAATTTGCCTCTTCTGGACAATTCATATAAATGGAATCATATAATACGCAGTCTTTTGTGACTGGCTTCTTTCACTTAGCCTAATGTTTTCAAGGTTTGCTGACTCATTCTTTGAATGAGATTTGCATTATATCCACATACAATTCTCCAAATACTAAAAATATATTTTGGATATTTATGGATGGATAGCATATGGTTTTCCAAATGTACTGCTCTTCCCAGTTTCCCACAGAAATTAGAAGGCTGGATAGGCTCTTATAAAAAAAAAAAAGTCATCAGGTTCTTATTTAGAATGCATATTCTACAGGAAATGTAAACCATGCTCTTTTGTACTAATACACTTACTCCTGACTAAAATTGCAGCATTATACACGCACTCATCCTCTCCAATATGCTCACTCCACTCAAAGAACAAAACTCAAGGACTTTATAACTCAAAATATAAACAATCCATTACAAAATGGGCAAATAATTTGAACAGACCAAGAAGATACATGAATGGCAGGTAAGCACATGGACAGATGCTCATCAACATCACTAGCCTTCAGAGAAACACAAATCAGAACCACAATGAGATTTTACTTCTCACCCCCTAGAATGCCTACAATCAAAAATATTCACAATGCCAAGTGCCATCAAGGTTGTAAAGAAACTGGAACCCTTGTATATTGCTGGTGGGACGTAAAATTATACAGCCACTTTCTAAAGTAGTTTGGCAGTCTCTTAAAAGCTAATCATACACCTACCATAATACTCAGCATCTCTAGGTATATAACCTATAGAAATGATAACATATTTTCACCCAAAGACACACATGTCTATAGACCTTACAGAAATGCCCTTACACATATTACTCATAATATTTCCAAACTTGGAACATTCCTAATGTCCTTCAATGTGTGAATGGATAAACAAAATGTCGTAGGTCCATACAATGAAATATACTCAGCAATAAAATGAACAACAGATAACATAGAAAACACAGAAAAACCTAAAAAACTTTATGCTAAGTGAAAGAAACCAGACACCAGAGACAACATATTCTATAATTCCATTTAAATAAAATTTCTAGAAAAAGGCTAAACTACAGAGACAAAAAGCAGACCTGTGGTTGACTGGGACTGGGAGTGGAAGTGAAGTTGAGTGTGAAAGGACATGAGAGAAATTTGGAGGTAACAGAAGGATTCAAAAACTAGATTTTGGTGAAGGTTGCATAACTGTATAAATTTACACTAAAACTCGCTGAACTGTTTATTTAAAAATGTGTGAATTATATGATATATATATATACACACACACATATATGTCTGTATACATATATGTACATGTATATGTATATATAAATTATACCTCAATAAATCTTGAAGAAGAAAAAAAGACCAAATGTTTTTTAATATAAACCATGCAAACCACACCTCAATACTCAATAGCTCCATTGATATTATGGAGGCTACTAACGAGCAGTTAATCCTGACCTGAAAACTTTTGCCATACATTCCTACATAAGTAAGTCCTCAAATTGTTTGGTCGCAGGACTCCTTTACACTCTTAAAAATAACTGGGTATCCCAAAAATTTCTTGTTTATGTGGATACTCTCTACTAATATTTACCATATTAGAAATTAAAGTGAGGAATTTTAAAAAATATTTATTGATTGATTCAATTTAAAATAACAATAAACAAATATACTAATAGGAAAACTCTATTTTTAGTGAAAAATATGGTTATTTTCTCAAACAAAGGAAACATAGTGAGAAGAGTGGCATTTTTTACAGTTTCACACATCTTTTACATCTGGTTCAATAGAAGACATCTGGATTCTCATATGTGCTCCTGCATTCAATCTATTGCAATATCACACCTCTGGAAAATTCCACTGTACATTCACAAGAGAATGAGAGTAAAAAGGCAAATAAAAACTTAGTATTATTAAGAAAGTAGTTTTGATCACACAGACTGCCAAAAATGGTCTGGAGGAACCCCCGGGACCTTCAAGCCATCCTTTTAGAATTGCTAGCCTAGATTCTGCCCTAAAACTGACTGAGGCTCATTTTAGTGAGATTGCTTACTCTGTATAATTAATACAGATACTTTATGATCAAGCTTTTCAGGAAAACAGGATCAGAACACTTTATGAATATAGTTTTCAAAGCATTTCAGCTACCACATTGTATAGACCTGGCTATTACTTATTTAAAGAAGAAAACAATCAAAATGAGACATATCATGCCACATAAATATTTATTTGCTGAATCTCAAACATTGTTCTTGATTTATCAGCAAGGAGAATAAATAAGACATACTACGCATCATTTAAACACCTGATTGTTACAATATTATCACCTAAAGCTTGTATTCCTGTCTGTGATTCAGACGTTTCTATTTTACATCATTTCCAGTTTTCCCTTATCTCTATGATTATGAAAGATTTCTCTTAGTTTCTGTATTTGCTTCTAAAATAATAAAATGTTCTTGAATTTTTCTAAAATGAATCTTGACACCATAGTCCTAAAATAACTGTGCTAATTTTAACGTCTGAAAAATAATGATTTAATAGTCATTTTAGAGTATGTGATTAATTTGTTAAATTAATATTTATTCCCCCTGTGCTTCACAATTAAAGAATAAGATGATCCATAAATTTTTGTATGCCTTATATCCTGAAATTGTTAATGATGCTCACTAAACATGTGCCAGCTCATTTGGAATATCTCCAAAGCTTTGGCCCTCTTTGAATTGAGATGTATGTCCCATGAAATATGATTTAAAACAAAACAAAAATCTAGATCTTTAAAACTTAAAAACAACAGTTTAAGTACTTACCTTACAATATCTCCTTCAAGAGCAATCACTCTCTTAATGATCTTCTGTTCTGGGTTTTTAGGAGACCTAGAATAATAAGATAAGGTTATACAATCAGTTATGTCTCTCCTGTTTTAAGAAAATAAAAAGAAATTCAATAACAAAACAGGCTATAATAAAGTCATTACAGAATCCGCTGCACCCATGACATGATATCAGTCCTACTTAGGTCCCAAGTGGTATGAAATTACTATTGAAGTAATTCTCATTTTAAACCTTCAGGGGAAATGAAGCCATGCTGACATTTACAAAAATAAAAGAATACAGAGGAATAAGGAATTTTATTATTAAGAGATAAAGTTCATTAGTAAAATTATTGTTATTAAAGATAAGTTCTTATAAGAAAGAGAATCCATACATAAGAAAATGACTAGACATTTCTTTTAAATGATAGGAGTTTGATTTAAATCCTCAAGAAAACCCTAAAAATTAAATATTTTCTACTTTTAAAAATTATAGAATTCTTTTCCATTACATTCTGCTTTAGCCATTTGACAATTATAGAATTCCGAGTGCTAAAACACGGCTACCGTTAGTTTCAAGGAATTGACAGGTTCTGATATACTTAAGCAAACGTCATTTATATTAAGCCACTTGACTATGGTAAATTTTTACTTGAAGTAATACAATTAACTCTAAATAAATCCCTGCCTGTCCTGGTATCCGTACCCTGCATACTTCCTTTCCACAGTGGCATAGGAGATCAAGAGAGTATGGCAAAAGCGATGGCAGATCATTTTTGAGGTTATGCTTTAAAACAGATCTGCACTTCCACCTTGGGCTCTCCCTTTTCCTCTTCTTCCTCTACTTTCCTCCCTCTCCCTCTTCCCTTTTCTTCCTCCCTTCCTCTTTCCCTGTCTCAAGTCTCCTCCTGGATCACTCTGGGGGAAGCCATATCTGTCCTGGGTGGCCCTAAGGAGAGACTCAAGATAAGAACCTCAGGTCTGCTAACTGTCCCATGAGTGAGCTCAGAAGCAGATGGTGCTGCCCCAGGCAAGCCTCCAGAGACTGCAGCTCTGGTGGGCAGTTTGACTGCAGCTTCATGAGAGACCCAAAGCCAGAACCACACAGCTTAAGCTGCTTCTGGTTTCCTGATCCTGATAATGTGTGAAATAAAAAATATTTGTTGTTTTAAGCTGCAAGATGTTGTGGTAATTTGTTACGCAGCAATGGATAACTCAATCTTACTATGGCTAATTTTCTGCCAGTAACATTTAACGTCTTTTGATTTAACAGACCCGTTTCAAGGAACATCTCATATATCACATAAATGATTTAAAATGCATTTGAAAATCATGGATAGATAAGAATACTTTCAATTCTAGTCACATGTTGAATTAAACTACTTTTTACAAGGAATGTAAATGCACCAAAACTGAAAAGATTAAATATATTCAAAATGTATACATCAAAAGAAATATGCAATTTCAATAAGATTTATATTTCGTAATATGTCTTGCAAAGAAAATGAAATCATGTAAACTAATTGCATCTACTTGTGACAATTAGTTTCATGGTTTCTCACTAACTTAATTATTAATACTCTTTATTTGAAAAGGATATTTGATCAGAGTTTTGACTGTCCTCTCCCTTTCATTAAATTGAGTAAACATACATTTCCACAACTTTAACATCATCAGTGTACAGCTAGACTGGGGGATCTGGACATATTCAAGCTGATAGAATTTGGGTCCTCTGTGTATGGCTACTTATAGGCCTTTTAGAAATTGCTCCTCCCATGTCTTTCTGTTTCGTTAACTAGAAATCTATAAAACAATATTCAGCCTCAGCGGTCACCAAAGAATTGCATATTAAAACATTTTCTTACTATACTGACAAAGATGTACCAATAATACTACTACTAATAAAAATAAAATGCTGTTGAGGATTGGGCATATAAACTGTGTGGTCATATAACATGTCTTTCTGTAAGGCAGTGTAAAGATTTTATATTCTTTTTAACATAATAATTATTATTTCCAGGAATTTATCCTAATAAAATGATTATAGATGAATGCAAAATTTTAGCTACATGGACATTTAAAGCAGTGTTCTCTATTTTAAAAAGTTCAACAGAAGGAGATTGGTTAAATAAATTATAGTCTACCCACATAATGAAATAGTTTACAGTCATTAAAAATTACATTATAGAAGAATATTTAGTGATATAGAAATAACAACAGAATGTATGGATTAAAAATACAAGTTAAAAAATGCTGTTTGTTCCATGAATTTATCTGTAACTACAGAAAGAAAAATGTGCATCCAATTTTACGAAGAAAGGATCCACTCTAGATTTTTGGTCCAGATTTCTGGGACAGCCTTCAGCCAATGACAACAGTGTATATCATATGATATTACCTGATAAAAAATGCTCCAAGACAGGAGTAAGACCTGAACTAATTACCAAGTTTTTCACCTAATACTGAGGTGGGATTAACTTTAATGAAATAATATAAAAAGCAACTCTTTTCAGCATAAAAAAATTTTATACCAGCAATCTTTAAGCTTTTGAGTTGCTTAAAAAGTATTTTATATTTTTAAATAACCTATATTTTAAGATCATGAGGCAAAATAGACTATGCAAAGTGAGCTATCTATATAATTAAAATCTTATGAATTACTACTTCAAACATATCTATAAATTTTAATGTACTGTTAAACTCATGAATCTAATCAAATTATTCAAAATGAAAAAAAGCTATTACTAACATTAATTCCATTACTGCTTAAAATCTATATCTATATTTTAATCATTATACTGTTGAATGCATTACTTTGATGTAAGTAGAAGTGGTAGGAGAGTTATTACAAATTTATAGCATGAAAGTTATTAAACTCTTTGTCTTAATTTTCTTGGCTACTTGCCTATCTCTTAGAAAATGTGAAAAATAACAAGTGAAGGACTATGCCTTACTTTAGGAATACAATGTATGCTGCCTAATAAATACTCAAATTTACATTTAAATTTGTAAATTTAGTGTTTTCATAATAAGCAGTGTTTCACAATATTTATTTCTGGGACCTGAATTTTAAACATTATGTTTTATGCTTATGATTTAATTAGGCAATAATTCTCCTTGGCTTGGACAATGAGCTTAGAATTGTCTCTGTCCTGCATGGGTCTTAGCAGATCTATTTGGAATGGCAGAATATACGACTCTAACTACAATGGATATGGGAAAGGGAGCGGGGTCCAGTGTAAACATGATAGAATTTCCATAAGATGACGCTCAATGTTCTTGTGAATTTCACTGCCTATCTCAATAGAAATGTTACCATTTTATCCTGTGGCCGGCCAAACAGAGCCATGCCTTAGGTCTCTGCAATTGATCTCGTGGTCTTTTCTGTCTTAATTTTGACTCCGTCCAGAGCCTTGGGAAAGTACTTTGGCATACTCAGGAGAAGCCCCTTGTGTCTCGAGAAAAGAAATATTAGCATGTGTCATCCCCAACCCCCAACACCCGCTCCAGATCCCACCTCATCTTGATGTCACATGGACATGTTATACCCGGGTCTAGGCATTATTACTCTTGTCCCATTTATGGTAAAACTCTGAAATCTCCCTCTGTGAATTGGGTAGATTTTTTATATTTACTTGGTTCAGAATTGGCCTCGATTATCACAGAGTTAATCTCAGGATTACAAGTCACCTTAGCCATAGCCTAATAATAAGCATGGATCCCTGAAAATTACAACCATTTATTGGACACTAATTACATTGCATATATCCCAGTGAGGTCTAAATCTTAATGCTCTATTAATGAGGTAAAAGTACGAACTAAAATTCAGGGGATGCCTTATATTAGACAGGCTACTATTCACTGTCCTAAAGAATGGTCATGCACTACACCACGTTAACATGAAATCATCATAATTTTAAAAATGCAAGTTTTGCTGTTGTTTTAACCAAAATAAGAAGAATGAAAAGCCTATTCAACAGTTATGAAAAGTCATATAAAATGATAGCTTCCCTCCTCCTTTCTCATCTAAATTTTGGAAAATGTTGCCAGGGTTTGACAGGGTTTTCATAGTGGTTGGAGCTAGAAAAGGCTTCGGAGTATTATCTAGCCCTTTCTATGCTGCTTTTAATCTTCCCCATTCTCCATGACCTCAGTTCTCCACTTGGTGACCACATGATGGTCCTCCTTGTGTCCTGCAAATACATGAACTGGAGTAAAACGGAAATGGAGTCTGCCATTAATATCCGCCTCTGCTATAAGCGAGTTGCTCACTGTAGGCAAGCTGCATAACCAATCTTGGTCTCATTTTCAGAAAGATAAGATTAGATCAGAGGTTCTAAAACCAGAAGTCAGACAATCAAATCTGGCTTACAGAAATATTTTGCTTTAGTCCATCCATTTGTTTTTTGGTTTTTTTTTTTTAAATCTTCAGCTAGCCAAGCAAAGAGGAGATTTCATATAAAAATTCTAATTTCTTGCTCCTCTTGAAAAAATAGAGAGCTCTGGCAACACTGGGCCCATATACTTGCACAAAAAAAAGTCTGGAGGAGCTGAGAAGCAGACACTGAGGATTTGCCTCCAACCCACCAGCTTCTTTCACAAATGTCTAGTGCCTGATAGCATCTGAGTTTGAGGAAGGACCTCTAGAAATCTTGAAGATTTCTTCTACCGATAGCATCATATAACTAGTGAGAGAACATATATAACAGATCTATCAGGGATTCTAGCACATACTAGGTACTCAGTAAATTTTATTCATCCCTTCCTAAAATAAATCCCTAAAGGAGATCAATTAACTGGGCCTAAGACAATTGTTACAGTCCCTTTTTCAGACTTACGTAGATAAACTATTTTTTTAAACCCTTTAATAAAAAGAATTAGATTCTGTTGCTTGGAGGGCAAGAAAAGCATTTTAGAGGTTGTCAGATTTTATTACATAATTAACTAAAGAAGCATCAAAACTAAATATAATGGGATTCATAGTGAAAAGTCACAGGTTAGTTTAAAATTAGATGGTTATTGTCTGCAAAATCAAGTAAAAATGAGTAACTCTCAGTGTTGGAT